TATTTGCAGATGACATGATATTGTACATAGAAAACCCTAAAGGCTCCACCAAAAAACTATTAGAACTAATAACTGGACTCAGCAAAGTTACAGGATACAAAATTGCATTCTTGTATACTAAAAATGAACTAGCAGAATGAGAAATCAGGAAAACAACTCCACTTATAATTGCATCAAAAAGAATGAAATACCTAGGAATAAACTTAACCAAGGAGGTGAAAGACTTGTACTCTGAAAACTATATGACACTGGTGAAAAAAATTAAAGAAGACACCAATAAGTGGGCAGCTATCCCATGCTCATGGATAGGAAGAATTAATATTGTCAAAATGTCCAGCTTATCTAAAGCAATTTACAGATTCAGTGCACCCTACAGTATGGGAGAATATACAAATGACTTATCCAATAAGGGGTTAACATAAAAATATATAAAGAACTCAAACACCTCAAGACCAAAAAAACAAATAATCTGATTAAAAAATGGGCAGAGGACCTGCATAGGCACTTCTCCAAAGAAGAAATTCAGATGGCCAAGAGGCACATGGAAAGACGCTCCACATCGCTAATCATCAGGGAAATGTAAATTAAAACCACAATGAGATATCACCTCACACCAATTAGGATGGCCAACATCCAAAAGATAAGAAACAACAAATGCTGGTGAGGATGCAGAGAAAGGGACACCCTTCTACACTGTTGTTGAGAATGTAAATTGGTTTAACCATTGTGGAAAGCCATATGGAGGTTCCTCCAAAAACTAAAAATAGAAATACCATTTGACCCAGCAATTCCACTCCTAGGAATTTACCTGAAGAAAACAAGATCCTGATTCAAAAACACATATGCACCCCTGTTTATCGCAGCACTATTTACAATAGCCAATATATGGAAGCAACCTAAGTGTCCATCATAGATGAATGGATAAAAAAGATGTGGTACATATATACAATAGAATATTACTCATCCACATAAAGAAAAGAGATCCTGCCCTTTGCAACAATATGGATGGATCTAGAGGGTTTTATGCTCAGTGAAATAAGCCAGACAGAGAAAAACAAAAGCTATATGATTTCACTTATTTTTGGAATATAAAAACAAAGGAAAACAGAAGGAATAGCAGTAGACTCATAGATACTGAGAAGTGACTAGTGGTTATGATGGGAGAGGGGATGGGGTAGGTGGGTGAGAGGGATAAATGGGTCATAAAAATTCTCAATCATAATATAAGCTGGTCACAAAGATAGTAGTACAGCATGGAGAATATAGCCAATGATTCTGAAACATCTTTCTATGTTGACAGTAACTACATTAGATGGGATGAGGATTTAATAATCTGGGTAATTGTTGAGTCACTGTGTTGTATATTTGAAACCAATGTAAGATTGCATACTGATGATACTTCAATTTAAAAAAAAAGGAATCAAACTTTGTTACATGTATTGTATGAATTTTAAAAGTTCTTGACTTCTAATTGTATTCCAATGTTTTTGCCACATGAAAAGTTCTAAGTTTATGTGGTTATATCTGTCTTTTTCTTTATGGCTCTTCTCAATGTGTTTTACTTAGAAAGTACTTTCCTACCCTAAGATGCATTCATTTGTTAAGTCATCCTAAAATTTTATTGTTCAAAAATATTAAATAAATCTAGAATTTATTTTGATTTATGTGGCAAAATAGGGAATCTAAGTTATTTCCAAAATTTCAACCATTCATCACCATATATTAAAAAATAATCTTTTTCTCCAAAGTTTTAAGATGAGGACTTTATAAATACTCAATTACTACATATATGTATATATATGAATTCAGTATACCTGCAGATGCATGCAGCCACCTGTATCGAGCCATTTTGCCCTGCTTTATTGATATATCAATTAACTTTTATAAAAGTTCTTCTTATTGACTATTTGTTAAAATAAGATTAATTACATATTAGCCATTAAATTTTTTCTTGATATTTGCTAAGTGCCCAAATTAAATAATTAAATGTACTAGATACCTCAACCTTATGTATATATAATACATTCTAAGAAAAAGCACTATTCATTATCCTTGTTTTCAAAAGTTATTGAACATCTTACTTTGTTTATTCTTAAAAATAATGCACTATTAAAGGATAACCTCAAACCACATTAGAAAAAAACGTCACATTTGATGTAAAAATGAGTCATCTAAAGACTGGAATAAATATAGGGAGAGAAATATTTTCTGTAGAACTGGGATAAAACTAGAAATCAGAGATTTGCTCAACTCTATTATGATTTATACAGTGCCTTGCTGAGTACACAGAAACCTTTCAGTAAATATTTACTTATTGATTGAAAAACATATTTGGAAGGCATTTAAAATATGAGCTATTTGTTCAAGCTGTACAAATAAAATTACATTGATAAAAATTCCTCTTTATAATTTTATGAGACATGAATGGTTCAATCAGTTTGAATCAATGATTAATATATGTTTAGTGGCTACATGTGGAAATCTCAGTTGTTTTTTATGGCATAGACAATGAATTAGAAGATGTGATGAGTCTCTTGTTTCAAAGAATTTGCAGTATCATCAGGGCAACATGCATTCAACGATTAAGAGAAAATTAAGAATTCTGAGAAGGAAGTTTGTAAGGATGGGGATCTCTGAGATTCCCATAGGAAAGCTAAAGAGGGGCCCTTCTCCCCAGGTACAGAACAGTAGATGGGGAGAATGTCAGCAGCTTCTGGCTGTAGTCCTCAGGAGTCCTAATGAGGAAGCTTTGATGAGCTATTCCCATGAAAACAAGTAGACACCTTGAGTCCTATGATAATTATTTTAGGTGGAACTCTGTGAAAATATAGTTGACTGGGGGAGAAAAAGCATGACATTTTAAGCTCTTTTTTTCACAGTGTGCATTTTCCTCTTTTCAAAATTTTCAGCTTTCTTCTCTTTTTCAAATTTCATTTCCAGGCAAGAGGCTTGTATTCTACAGCTCATGATAATGCCCAGATGTTTAGGTTACAATACAACATAGTAACATTATAAGCACAGCATGTGCTAACAAAGGACATGAGGGGGAGAAAAATTAACCACACTTTAGCCCACTGTCCATTATGCTTGTAACACAGATCCTCATGGGAATCAGAGTAAGTCCTTGAATAGGTTTGATTTTTTTTGTGTACTAGGACAAGACACATGCAAGAAAAAAGCAGAGCAGTTAACAAGCTAATGAAAAATGTTTACTGAGTTTGAAACCTAAATAATTTGATGATACTTGGTGACATTATTCTTAATGTTCATATACCATATGCCCTCAAAAATTCTTGTAGTGTTTTGTGTATGTTTGGAGAATTAAGTTTGAAAATAAAGCTTCACAACTTGAGCACTGCATTTCTTATTTCGTCCTGGAATATTTATGAATTCTCTGCTTGACCACAATAATCTTAGAAGGTCCCTGGTGATTATCCATTTTAGTGCCTGTTGGTTGATATTTAAATATTTCAGCATCAAATGCTTTACTTTTGAAATTACTTATTGAAGGATTAAACAAATTCACCATATGCACAAAATAAATATATTTTCTCCCTGATGAAATACCAGAAAATGAAAATCAACAGGCAATTTTATGGATGTGTACTGAAACATGACTAAAGCTTAGTCAATTCTGCTTGCAAAGCCACCTTCCTAATCAGTAGAGATCACTGCCGAAACCCACTCAACAATAGCAACTGATGTCAATAGTAAAGACAGTCAAAACCATCCCTCTGACTACATTGCATCCTGACTCAGTTGTCCAGCCTCAGCAGTCACAGTTCCAGTACTGAACTCTCTGAGTCACTCTCTTGCTCTTTCATTCTTTCTCTATTACCTACAAACACGTTATAGAAAATACATTTATGTAGTTCATTTTTGGAACTGGAATTTCAATGTAGAAGTGAAATAGCCTTTCTCCTTCACTTAGACCCAAGTGAAGATGGAAAGAGAGAGAGAAAGACACCAGAGACTCAAGTGTCCTCAGTAACTGCTTGGTTTTGATACGTGGTAATGACTGAAAATAGAGTAACTGAGGTATCTAGCCCCCTGCCCCCGTGATTCCTTCTTATACTCCAGGTGAATTTATCAGCAAAGTATATGCTCCCCAGGAAAGCCCTGTAATGCTAATACAGAACAATTTATGCAGGTGCAAACCATTTCAATAAGTTATAGCCTTAGTGTCAATAGTCATACTTCTAAGGTAACAAAAAAAGTCAAGGGAGAAGGAGACATGCAGAGATAACTAAGAGAAAGTCCTTTGGACTTCTTAACCCTTTGAAAATTAATGTTCTAATCTTACTAGATAATTCACAGCTCAATGATTGATAGAAGCCTTTTTCATGGTTTTCTTTTGTAGTCTAACCTTGTCTTATAGGCTCTCTCACAGAAACCCTAACAAATAGGAGGACTTCTACAGCAAGGAAGATGGTCTTCATAAGCTAATGAGGATCAGCTTACTTGTGTATGTGTTAATATCAACATTATCATGATTCAGCCACCATCAGAGTGGTAACCCCTACTTTGATGTTCTCCCCTTTCCATTCACGACTCACAGGTTAATAATAGTACTATTTCAAAGTATGTAGGTAATCAAATGAATTGATACATTATAACTCATAGAACAGAGTAAGCATTAAATAAACATTAATAGTTTTCGATCTTTTGCTTTTTGCTAAGGTTGCTGTCACTGTAATTAGCAACACTGAGCACCAATCTGCATGATTTTTTCACCTTTCAGCTCCCTCCAGGCCCATAACCTTTGGCCCATTGAAACAATGAACTTGAAGGCAGATGAGGGTGGGGGGAGGGCAGTCAGGGAAGCACCATCCTCCACTTTACCATTTTGACAAATAGGTCCTCCCCTAAATTTTCTTCTGCAGGTTGCGACTGAACTGCAACTTTAAAAAAGATTTAACTGAAAGTTCATGATTAACAAAGGAGTGGACAATAGCAGTTATTTATTAACTGCTAACCCATGTGGTTCATTTCAGAGCCCACTGGACCAAGATTGCCCTCATGGATTCTCTAGCAGTCTAACCCTCTTGACAGCTTGCCTGTAAGTAGCAAGGTCAGTTTAGCTCTCACTATCAAAAAAGCAGTGGCGCCTTCTGTTCTAGGCCCCAAAGAAAAATGCTGTCATTACCCCCAAAGAAAGCCTTGTCCCTTGAGTTCTCACTCTCTCTCTCTTTTTTTTTTTTTTTTTTTTTTGGTCCCAGAATCTTCCTTTTCCTCTGATTCATTCTCAGCAAAAACTCTCATCTCTGCATCATAAAAAACATTTCTACCATCTGTCTCTTTCTGCCTTCTCATCAGTACAAAAATCAGCAACAAAGTTAGCAGAGATAGAAAGCTCTGCCTCAACCAAATGCATATAATTTTATACTGCAAAGCTGAATATTTAGCTTCTCTTCCTAAATTATCTGCATTTAGGTTAATGGACACTTCAGTTCTTTCGGTAGAACAATGGCTGGATACATTATGGGACATCATGAACATTTACAGATGCACTCATTAATTTTTCCAAAAATTGCTTTAATTGCCTGTGATGTATTTGGCAGTGTTAAATAGAAACAAACAAGCAAAATTTAAAATATGTATATTAGCCTGTCTTCTGAAGCTAAAAATCTAGTATCAGAAAAGTTAAAATTTGTTAAAAAGCCAAAGAGAATATTACTAATGGTTTATTTACTGTAAATTTTATGACAGAAACAGGGAGCAGTGCAGAATACTAACAGATGGCAGTAGCTGTAGCGTGGGACCTTAACAGTCACTGTGTGCTTTGTCCAGCAATGGTATGTTTTCTGGGTATGGTTTTGTTTTTTATAATATTCTTATCTCCATTATGTCTGAAAAATGCAGAAGCCATGAAAGTGTTGAAAATACCTATGTATAAAAACAACAACAAAGCTTTTCACTACAATGAAACTAAAAGTGGTGGTAATGAAAATAATTACATATGTAAATAAAATGGCAAATTTGGCATGTGTATATAGAATGAATCTTTTGAAAATAGTGTTGGTTTCAAGGAATAAATAGCAAAACATACATCATGTGAACAGTACTGTGCTCATACAGTACTGTGCTCATGTAATAGTTAATAACTAGCTAGAGGTATTGCTAGCAACGCCTGCTGACCTTTCTCATCCCCCACTCTTCTATTTTTCTTAAGTTTTAACCACCTTCTAGCTATCCTATATATATATTCATCAGGTTTATTGTTTATTTATACTCACTAAACTCTTAATTCTACAAGATTAGGATTTTCTTGTCTGGAGAATCTCAAGCACCATAGGTAGTACCTTACACAGAGCAGAGGCTCACAAAATATTTGTTAAATGAAGGAATATGCATATAAGTGAATGAGTAAATGAACAGATAAATAATCTAATAATTAAAAATGAATTCTAAAAATAACTTGTATTTATGTTTTTTAAAGCACTCTTAAGATAAGAAGCCCCATTTAATCTTCCCATAACTCTAGGGGAAAATAAGTTTTCAGTCTAGGACAAATTACCTTTGAAACCGAAATCAGTCAAAGGGAGAAATAAAGTGGGAGAAACCCCTTTATTGCCTACAAGCAGTTGTACACTTGGGCTCAAATGTGTCTCTCATGACCCAGCTACAAAAAGGGGTGCTACCCAACCTCTCTGGCCCAGATATGCCATTGCTCCCCCTTTAATCACCTATTGATATGGAGATTGGCTACTTCTCTCCACCCCTTGGAAACACCTGTTGATATGGAGATACACTAAGGTCAGGTGAGAGATTTTGGAAATACTGCAATTTTGCCCACACTTCCCTATCCTTCCTTTATCCTATAGAACCCTGGTACAATTTCTACACATAAGTAATTTTGATCACTTATATATTTTATTAAAATGTAAGATAATAATGTGAAAAAACACTGGAGGAACAATCTGTATGAGCAAGTATAGGGACTTTTAAAATATTATCATATGATGGTCAATGTAGTCCACTTATCAATTCAACAAATATTTAATGAGCATCTACTACATGTCAGGCATATAAGTCTGAAAAAGAAAGACAATATTACTGACTTGATGAAGACAAAAACAAACTGAATCATTTCAGAGAATCCTAAATGCAATGAAAACTGAGGGTGGGAGAGGCATTAGGACCTTGCTTTTGATCATGGAATTTGTGGATCATCTCCAGCAGAGATGGCTTTTGAACTGAAGAATCAATTAGATTGGAGGGATCACACATGCTCTGAAAAGACTGGAAAGAAGTATTTTCCAGGCAGAAATAACAGCAAGTACAAAAGAACTAAAAGTGAACAAAAAGAGCAAGTTTCTGAAATGGAATGAAGGCCAGTCTGGGTGGAGATCACTGAGGAAAGTGGGCTACGATGTGAGCTGAAGTTGGAAGGTCTCAGGGCTAAATTACATGTGGTCTTCTTTACCATGGAGGGGGGTTCAGCCTTTGTTTCTTGTTGATTTCTACTTTGCTAGAAGGTTTCATACTGTAACACAATTTGATTTACTTTATACTTTAAAAAATATCCCAACTGTGTAAGGAAAAGGCCTGTCCTAGTAGGAAAAATATCTTTTTCACATGCAGTTTTCTTTTTCCTATTAAATTTATCACTGAGAAATTGCCATAAAAAGATAATATGTTAAATTAGCATTATAATTCTATACATATATTTTGGTTTTCATGCTTTAAAAATCAAAATTTTGTTTATGTGCATTACAAATACAAAAGACTTTATTTTTTCAGCAATGTTGTCTGAAAGGTGTCCACTTCTAGAACCAACCTAAATTCCCCTGGATGTGGAGGGAAAGATTAATTACAGTTACTTCAGTACAAGGAAATTATTTTCAGTAGAGGCAACCCTAAATCTTGGTTTATGCCAGTTCTTTTCAGTGCAATTGCGTATTAACCCTGGCTGATTGCAATGGGTGAAAATCATTGATATTTCACTTCTTTTTCCTCCTAAAAAACTAAAACCTGATGGCAAGAGTAAATTTAAAATCTGAATCACGATGTTGTATTAAATTCAGTTTTGTCAGTTAGTAGATATTTTTTATCCTACAACAACAGATGTGACTAAAAGAATTCATCTTGTTGACATTGCTACCCTTGTATGGATAGAAATCAATATTAACAATATCATTTACCACTGCACATTCTGGCAAGGAAACTTTTACCATTCATAAAGTCAGCTTCAGCTTGTTTGCCATTGTAGTGTCACAACCTACTTCTGATGGAAAACATTTTTATCTGCAATTGGCTAAGCCATTTATCTTCCTTGGACATCACATGCGGTAGACAGCATCAGCAAACAGATATAGGAAAACTGTCATCATTAATTATACTGAGAGCTGGAATTGGGGTCCACGAGCTTCTAATGGCAGACTCACAAAGAGGCTAATACAATTTGTGATTCAAACACAATTAAGTGTAATGTATTGTTAATGTCTTTTTAGTCACCTCTTTAAATGCAGGATCAACTCAAACTTACATAATGACAAATAGTATTTGACCAAATTTCAGTGTGTTTAATATGGATTTACTCTTGGCATTGCATTTGAGCTTCCTTACAAGTTTTGAAGCAATCACCAATGTTTTATGGGTAAATTTAGCCAGTATCTATCCAGACAAATGAAGTGGAAAAGTGAAACAATACTCTAGCTAGCTTTTCTTCCACAATTTGGTTGTCTAGATGATTAAAACTTCAAGAGAAATTTTCAGTGAAATACCAAATTTACATTTTTAAAAAGGTTTCCTGTGGTCATGTAAAATACAGTTACCCACAAGCACCATCATTTTTACAAATAGGACTAACTTCAGAACACTTAACTGAACAAATAAGATTATTTGAAAAATTTGCTACATCTTTTGTCCCTGGCATAAGATATACAAATCTTGCTGACCTTAATGACTGTTAATCAATATTAATTTAGTATGTTATGCATTTAGCTATTTCCTTTATATTCCCTGAATATAAACAAAATTTGTAGTTTTTACATGTATTTCTATTTATTATTTTGCACATTTATTACAGCTTGTTACTAACTAGCCTGTAGTTGTTCTTTTTGATGACTTCTATAGCATTTTTATATTATATTTACTCTTTAGCACCAAGTTTTAATTTTTGTCTGATTCTTTTTTTTTTATATACTCATTCATCCATTTTTAGTTTTCTTTATTAATGAAAAAAATTCTTATGTAGTAAAATTCTACCCCATTTAGAGAATTCCTTGATTTCATAAATCAGTGATCACAAATGTATATACCTGCTACAAATGCTTTTTTTCACTGGATTAAATTTAAAATATTTTGCAATACACAAAGTTGCTTTTGGTAGAAATCCTAAATTTATTCTCTTAAGAGATAAAATTTATAAACCACTCAGAGGTAAATATGATTTGTATGCACATTTGTATGTGTGCAGGGGGTCGGGAGGTGCTGAGGGAGATATTTAAAGTAATTAGCAGATTTGGGAAATGAGCACAAAATTGCTGTATTTCCAGAATTGCTCACCTGACCTTACTATATCTCTGTATCAATAGATGTTTCCAAGGTGGAGAGAGGTATCCATCTCCATATCAATAGGTAATTACAAGGGGGAGTGATGGCATATTTGGACCAGAAAGGTTGGGTGGGGTCCCTTTTTGCAGCCAGGTCATGAGAGACATGGGTGAGCAGAAGTAGATGACTGCTTGTAAGCAATAAATGGCTTTCTCCCACTTTATTTCTCCCTTTGACTGATTTCGGTTTCAAAGGTAACTTGCTCCAGGCTGGGAAAATATTTTTCCCCCAGAATTACAGGGGAATTTGATGGATTGGCATGATCATATGAAATACATGTTTTACCAAACACTGAGAAAAATAATGAAATATTTTATATAAGTCTTTTGTTTCTGTTTCCTTCCCTCATTTTGCCATTGACCTATAAATTCAGATTAGTATTGGAATGGTAACACTGGTCACCCATTTCAGTCAAAGTGTTGGTGTCTGCCTTCTCCTTTGCCGGGTACATACCACTAGAGATACAAAGTAACTTGAGTGCATCACAACTTTTTCTTCTCGACTATGAGGGGTGTGTGTATGTGTATGTGAAGTATTTAAGTTTCATACATAGTTGGAAAGGCAAGCAGTCTGGGAGCACAGGATAATGGAAGTGGGTGACAGAGAGAATGTAGGAGGTTGCCTATTAAAGAGGCTTTTCCACCTCAGAATTTCTGCTACACTTGACCTTGCTTATAAATCATATGATTACACAAGTTAGAAACATAAATAGCATCATAAATGTCTTAAAAAATACACTGATAACAATTTCATACAGGTTTGCAAGGGCAACAGAGGTATTTGGGGGCTCTTTTTTGACATTTGAGGTCAGGATCAAGTACAACCACATCTGCCCACAGCAACTCTTTGGTGCCCTGCTAAGTGACATGATTCTGATAGGAGCAGCACCCAACTGGCTCGGGGTATGAAATGTCCTACTGTTAATTCAGTGCATGGCCTCTGCTTTTATGATGCCACCTGCAGGGAAATAAATCATCATAAAGTTGACTGAGTGTGTCCTATGTTCATCTGCTTGACTGTGTTTGATGTAACTGACTGACAAGAATAGTAGGGGATGAGAAAAAAGGGGCATCAGCGTCATCAAGTGAGTGCAAGACTTCCAAAGGATGGTCAGGATACAGATGGACTGAGAGGAAAGAAGAAGCCATCCAAGGAGACCAGGGACAGATAGTACAGAAAGAGCATGACAGCGTGGCATCAGTGTCCTTGTTGGGAGGAGCTTCCATGAGGTGTAAGA